ATTTCTTCTGAATAGTTTAGTCCAGAGTTTGAGGAATTATAGTTATTTATAAAAATTACTTTATTTCGAGTAAACATATAGAAAATAACCAAAAAACGGCAAAAATGTTGGAATGCCTTAATTAAGAAGTTTAAACATTATGGAAATGTCAAAAAGTGACTTTGGTTAAGAAATTTTTGGCACTAAAATTTAATACACCAATATCACACTGCAATCATCAGGGGACATTTTCATCTTTTTAAATATCACAGGGAAAGTTCTGACACCTTCTTTGCAGGAAAAACGTTATTTTTTTTGCGAAAAATATCTTTTACGTTGATCATAAGAACAGTTTTTGTGGCTTCTGATAGGTCAGACCTGTACAGAGATATCAAAATAGAATTAACTAGCTTTATCCAACTATAAAAGGGAATTAACTAGCTTTATCCAACTATAAAAGGGAATTAACTAGCTTTATCCAACTATAAAGATACCAATTAGTACTTTCTAAAGGTTTCACCAATATTACGGATATTAATATGGATGATTATCTTCAAGGTTAAATAAATCTTTTCTTATTTTTAAGATTTTGAGGAAAAAAGAAATTAACACTAGACTCAAACTCTAATTTCTAATTCTTTAATATTCGAAACCTGACCTTAAAGAGTTTTGAATTTCAAACTACGAATTCTGTTAAATCAGAAAGTCAACGTTTGAAATACTAATGGTTTAAATTGGGACTTCTGAGTGGATCTTCTTTTAAATTTCTATCATTGTGTTGATATCTACATTGTATTGCATTCTACAAAACTTATTTAAATATAATGGTCTCTGTTTCGGTGTATAATATAGATTGCTTACAAAATTGGATTATTGAGCATAGAAAGGTAAAGTGCAATTATGGTGGTGCAAAAAAAGTAATTATATGTATTGTAAAGATACTTCCTGGCAGTTTTATTCCATAAGGATTAAGGACCCTCAACACTCGAAAGAAAATTTAGATTTAGAAAAAAAAGTCTTTTAAATAAACAAGTTGGTAATCTCTATTTAGAATTTTGTTTTTTTGATCATAACTCATGAACTCCTCAAGTTTTGATAGTTGACTTTAAAAAGGTGTTATACAAACAATGTAGCCTTAATTTTTTATAGGGGAGGGGTTGGGATTTTTTGGCATAAATCTGGCTATCTAAAATTTTGTCGATATATAAAGTGTATTATAATGATTAGATATGAAAAAAACATTTATATGATATTTTTTTAGACACAAAATCTTACCATTTTCCCCACCAAAACAGGTTCTTTCAAATTTCTTTATTAAGTTTGAAAACTAATTCAGAATCTTAAAAGTAATATTTGTTGTTCTTTTCAATATTTGAATTTAATAAGTTTATGAAAAAGTTTTCTGTATTAATACCACAAACAAAATGTTAGGATTGGTTAATTCCCATAAGGTTCCTTTTCTTAGAAAGTCTGCTTAAAAGAAACAAAGTCTTTGTGGTTTGACCGTTATTTTCCATATTTTCTACATTTTCTATATTTTATATTATTTCTACATTTTCTATTTTTTCTATATTATCTACATTTTCTATGTTTTCTACATTTTCTATATTTTCATATATTTTCTACATTTTCTACATTTTCTATATTTTATATTATTTCTACAGTTTCTATATTTTCTATATTTTCTACATTTTCTATATTTTATATTATTTCTACATTTTCTATATTTTCTATATTATCTACATTTTCTATGTTTTCTACATTTTCTATATTTTCATATATTTTCTACATTTTCTACATTTTCTATATTTTCTACATTTTCTATATTTTCTATATTTTCTACATTTTCTACATTTTCTATATTTTCTATATTTTCTACATTTTCTATATTTTCTACATTTTCTACATTTTCTACATTTTCTATGTTTTCTATATTTTCTACATTTTCTATATTTACAACATTTTCTATGTTTTCTACATATTTTCTATGTTTTCTACATTTTCTATATTTTCTACATTTTCTATATTTTCTACATTTTCTATAATTTCTACATTTTCTATATTTTCTATATTTATTTTTATTTTTTTTTTAAATTGGGATTGGCTCACAGGTTTCGAAAAACTGCAATATTTTTCAGAAAATCAATTTCAAAGAATTTGTTTTTAAAAACATCTTTCAATAGAAAACCATTCTAAGTTATCTATTTCTAATCCAGGTGTTGTTAACAATATTAGTCAAAATATTATGATTTCAATCATAATAAAAGTATTTGAAATACAAATTTCCATGATAAAGTATTTGAAGTACGAATTTCCGTAATAAAAGTATTTGAAGTACGAATTTCCGTAATAAAAGTATTTGAAGTACGAATTTCCGTAATAAAAGTATTTAAAGTAAGAACTTTCATTAAAAAAGTATTTAAATTACGAATTTGAGCGAAAACAGGTTAGTTATTATTAATAAAACCCTGAGATGAGATTTTAAAAGCTTAAACCCGAGTAACCCCAGTCTTTGCGTCTGTTTAGACCCAAGTAAAGCTCAAGTGAAGACCCTGGTTTTGGACGGTCTTGAGTTTAGTAAAAACCAACCACCTTGGGGTTTTCTCTTTTCAAGTCTCTGGTCTTCAACAGCGGATGATAGTAAATTTCGAAAAAACTTTAATATCTATTTTAAATCTCGGGAATTATTTGTAGTGTCAAATTTGATCAAAGGTATGAAATAAACATACAATACAAATAATGTATCTCCGTAAAGTTCAAATTTTCGAATTTTACATCTCCTTGTCACAGCTGATCTGCTAGTAATCTGTCTGCTATAGAAAGAAAGCTTTCCAAGCAGTCTCTAATTGGTCAAATCAGAACCAATCCTGACTTGGGTTCTTATTGAGCCCAACTCTGAGTTTGGTACCAGTACAAACGTTGGACGATACAAACCTAAGACCTACAAACGTCGGACAGTAAAAACGTCGGACCAAGACAAACGTCGGACTAGTACAAACGTTGGACTGGTAAAAACGTAGGACAGTACAAACGACAGACCAGTACAAACGTCAGACCAGTACAAACGTCGCTGGTAAATAAAAATCTACCAAAAGTTACTGAGTTCTTGTCACTAACTTAAATATTTTTATCCCAAAATCTTTGCAACCTGGTTATGGTAATAACCTTTGATACTTTCAAACTTAAACTGTTTGATCTTATAGATTTCATAGGTTGAACTATTAAAGGTTTTGATATATCGGGTTGCAAAGATATAGGCATGTAGAAACATCCGAGTTTGTGACAATTGAACTCAACTCCTTTTTGGTCTGTTGTTTTATATACAGTGCTACCTTCTAAGGATTGAGACTTTATTCACTTAATTTTTATCACAATAATTGAGTGATTTTTAACTTATTTCTTATAGCAAGGGTCTTTTTATCAAAGTCCAACGTTTTTCCTTATAAATGTACCTGTCTGACGTTCGTACTGGTCCGACGTTTGTACTAGTCCGACGTTTGTCTCAGTTCAACGTTTGTACTAGTCCAACGTTTGTACCAGTCCGACTTTTGTACCAGTCCGACGTTTGTACCAGTCCGACCTTTGTAAGTCCGACGTTTGAACTGTCCGACCTTTGTAACGTCCGATGTTTGTGGGTCCGACATTTGTACTGGTGCCCTGAGTTTCACTCGTGTTTAACCTTTTATGATCTCGTCTTAGGTGTATCAATACCAATTTTGTATTTTGGAGTTGATAACTGTTGTCACGCTAAACTAATTTACCGCAAGATATGCCCGGAATGATTAGAAATAAACCCAGTAAAGGTTTAAAGAGACTGTAAGCGTAATAAAAAAACAAATTAAAAAATGATTTTCTCTCCCAAACCTGTGCAACATCATAGTTACTGGACAGCTAGTAATAAATAAAAACAATACATTGATGGCTAACTTTTAAATTATAACAAATGCATGAAAATGATAAAAAAGATAAAATTTCAATGCTAGGAACAATAGCTTGTCAACCAATTGAACGTTTCTCAATTTTCTACAATTTCTAATAATAATCATAAACAAAAGTGAAATTAAGTAAAATTAAGTAAAAAGATATAAAAAAATGAAAATAATTCAATATTTTGCCGAACTTTTTTTAATGCAGGCAAACGGAACATGTACATAATCTTATTTGTTTATATATAAAGAAACGGAACATGTACATAATTTTATCTGTTTCTATATAAAGAAACGGAATATGTATATAATTTTATCTGTTTATATATAAGTAAACGGAATATGTACATAATTTTATCTGTTTATATATAAGTAAACGGAATATGTACATAATTTTATCTGTTTATATATAAGTAAACGGAACATGTACATAATTTTATCTGTTTATATATAAGTAAACGGAACATGTACAGTATTTTATCTGTTTATATATAAATAAACGGATCATGTACATAATTTTATCTCTTTATCTATAAGTAAACGGTACACCAACTAATTTAAGAGAAACAAAAAATAAAAATAGAATCTTAATTACGATTTAGCGAAAAATAAGTAAATTTAATTAATGCATTGCTCGAATTAGAATTACGTTTTTTTTCAACGAACAATTTTATTTAGACAATATAGACAGTACAAATGTTCGAATAGTTAGCCGTAAATTTTAGATTAATTAATAATGTAATTAAACTGTTTTTCTCACAATCTTAAAAATCTTTGAATTATTCATTTAATGTAAAAAAAATTCAATTAAGGTAAAAAACTAAAACTTGTTTTCCGTTTTCTAATTTGTCAAATTTTGGATTAAGGGATTGTTTGATTGAGGTAGTAAGATAAGTGAATTAAATAAAACCACTTCAAATACAGAACTTCGATATTTTAATTACCAACTACAAAATAAAGTTAAGATTTGCACAAAATTTAACTAAAATACGTTCGTATAGCACGATATATTTAAACTATGTGTTGCTGAGGAGAAATATTAATGATGAATGATTTATAAATTTTCCGTAAATCCTTTAATACTTTTAATTATAGATTAAACCTTGCTCTGCTCTGAATGACGATGATGAAACCCTGAAACCTGATGAATGCACAATTCTAAATAATCAGGATTGGAACCAAAACCATGGAATTCTTAGTAGATGATCACTTCTACTCCAACTCCTCTCCGAGTATGTTTAACGTATCTAGAACGGATCTACTCTCTCCTCCAAACCTTCTCCGACCCCCGAACCTATCTCTAGCTCTACCTGGACCTATGCTGACCCTGCTGCTAGCTCTATATATCCCGGTCATTCTACTTGCTGTTCTAGGCTCTCTACTTGTCATGCTCAGCGTGATTAGGTATTACATTTATTTTTTTGTGATACCTCATATTATACAAGGAGCGGTTAATTGACTGTATAAATTAAAAAATTTTCCCCGCCAATGAAAAGACAAAAATCCGCGAATTTAAGTTAGTTTTTAAAATTGAACGAGAAGCAAATGTTGGCAAACAAAAGAAACAATAGAAAATTCTAAGTTTCTGAAAACCTGTAAAGACTAACACTGTACTTGGTTAAAAGCTGCATCTTGCATTGCGAAAATCTCTTTTTTGCATTGCTGCTGTTTACAATTTAAAATTCTCTTATTTTCAATCTGAGCATCAAAGGTTGTCTTTATTGCTTTGAAAAACATTCTTTTGCTTGTCAGGTTTTTCATCTAAGAATCATTGTTTGACAAAACCTCGTTGCACAGTTTTATTAAAAAAAGTTGCAAAGTTGCAATGGGTTGTAAACGTTTAATCTCTGCATCATAAAAAATAATTGTTTAATAAGACAACAATTACAAAGAAAATATTAAAATTTCATACACAAAATACAATGATCAATTCTAAATTATTGTTACCATATAAAGATGGTATGAAATAAAGGAAATCTGAAGCCTGAAACTGATTTGAGCAAATCTACAGAGTATAGGAAAAAATGTATTTACAAGTAAAGTAATAACAAATAAATTGATACTAATTTAATCATTGAAAGCCGGAGCTCTCTGGCAGACTCTCTGCCTTTAAATTCGCCTTGTAGGACGTGATAATCTTCCGTCTTCCAACCCTTTGTAATAACTAAGTTCCATTTCAGTTTTAGCTCAGGCCGATAATATTTCGTCCTCCTCCCTCGTGTCAAGCCGTGTTTGCCTATTGGCTTGAATTTGAAAAAGAACCCTGGGTCATTGGTGGTTTTTTTTTTTCATGCTTTCAAATCATGCGTTAAAAGCATGTTCTCTTTAACAGACAGAATCTGAATACACTATACACGGGGTGACTTATCATCCGCCCCACTTTCCATCCAACCTATAGCTATATACAACAGAGCTACTACGTTGTCCTGTTTGTAGGCCAAACTACTTGCAATCCGAGCTTAGCTCCGGAGGACTGAAGGGGTTACATCAAGGGAACTATCCCTATTATGAGCTATTGAGCTCACACTGGTTACACTATAGTTTTTAGACATTTTGTAAAAAATATGATTGTTAGATCTCCGAGCCTGAGAACTTGTAGTAACTCCTACTTGGTGAATCTAGCCCTCTCCGACCTTCTACTCGCAGCACTCGCGTGCCCCATCACGCTCGTTCAACTCACTTTTAAGGTAGAAAGTTTTACAATTATTTTAAAAGGGATCATCGATCCAATTTTAAGAGAAACTCCAATAAAATAGTTCCATGTCCGATTCAAAAGGGTACCCTTCGAAGTCAATTTTCTTCCCTTATCACAAGCCACATTTTTGCTCAGAAACTGAGTACTAGGGCACCGTTGTGAATCGAGATTGTAACTCTATTAATGTAGGATCCCTTTAAATTAAGTATCAATCCTTCAAAGTGATGAACTGATATCCGAACAAACAGAAAACAGAAATTACAACTTTATAAATATATATAACTAGCCTTAGAGGGCGCTTCTCGCCCATCTTCTAAATTAATTGAGAACATGTTCTCTTTGTGTACATCGTAAAACAAAACAAAAATAATTCGCGGATTTTCACAAAAAATTTCGTGGATTTTCAAAATTTTCAAAAATTTAATGAAGATCAAATTTTGATGGAGACAAATATTTGAAATTTTGATCATTCATAATAGTCTCATGTTGCCAAGAAGACTTGTTCCACCGCCTGCAGAATACTTGATATAGCTAATATATCAAATACTTGTTCCACCGCCTGCAGAATACATGATATAGCTAATATATCAAATACAAAGTACCCCCTTCCCCCCCTAATGCAGTCTCATGTTGCCAAGAAGACTTGTTCCATCGCCTGCAGAATACATGATATAGCTAATATATCAAATACAGAGTAACTGGTTGAGAGAGACGCTAGGGGAGTAATTTATTGAAAAAAGAGAAAATATAAGGGTTAAAGGAATTTAGTCTTTTACGCAAACTCAAATTTTCTAATCCATATATCTTTGGAACCTAATAGTGTAAAGATTTGATATCTTAAACTTAAATAATTTGATTCAAAATATAATTCAAGTTTGCAATATCTAAGGTCTATGACATTAGGTTGAAAAGATTTAGGGATTAGAAAATCAGAGTCTGTTACAATGGCAAAGACTCAATTCCTTTGTTAAAAAACTTGAGAAAAGTGGTCCGTAAAAAAAACATTTTTTAGGTGGAATAACATTGACCCCTTCATGGTTTACCAATTCCACCTGATTTTAACCTCTGCCCAAGAATCCGCTCCTATATACGCTAATGTATGGTATAACATATACACAGGGCCGTTTCCTTCGCTAATTTACATTCAAAGGGGATTTCCAAGACCAAGATAGGATAGGGTTTTGGATTTTACACAAAGACAATGAAACACCTAAATGTCTTTAATGTATTAAAAAAACCAAAGCATAAAGGAGTCTTTGCCACTAATTTTCTAATCTTTATATCTTTGCAACACAATTGTTAAACCTTAAATTTTTCAAACAAAGAATTTGACCATTTAAAAAATAATTTAAGTTTGAATATCTAAGGTTTAAAGTTTCAGGTTGCAATGATGTGGGAAAAGAATAATAGAGTTTGAGGCAAGGACTCAATTTTCTTAAGAAATTTAAGAAAATGTAAAATTCGAGATCTGTTTTGCATAGAAACATTGTTTTTTCTTGTCCAAGAACCCTGTTAAAAGCATTAAGCTTTCGGAAAGGGTGTTATCAACTAGGACCACACGCGGATTTTACAGTTCGATCCATTTCCAGCTAGCTGTGACTTTCGATCAAAATTTGACCTATTATTAATCCATAAATGTTTGGCTTTTTCTCTTTTATACTTCTAAATATAAAAGTATTAAAAGTCCCTTCTGTAAATTTATATATATTTAATTTATGAATCCAAAACAAGATTGAACTCAAATTTAAGAAACCAAATGCATCTCGCTATGGTTAGTCCGGGGTCACCACTTTAATACCAGATTTTCTTACTTAGTTCAAATCTGAATTGAACAATGCCAGTCGGACTTAAAGCGGAAATGACAGTCGGACATAAAGCGGAAATGAAAGTCGGACCTAAAGCGGAAATGACAGTCGGACATAAAGTGGAAATGACAGTCGGACCTAAAGCAGAAACGACAGTTGGACCTAAAGCAGAAATGACAGTCAACATAAAGTGGAAATGACAGTCGGACATAAAGCGGAAATGACAGTCAGACAGAAAGCGGAAATGACAGTCGGACAAAAAGCAGAAAAGAAAGTCATACCTAAAGAGTAAATGAAAGTCGTACCTAAAACGGCAATGACAGTCGGACATAAAGCGGAAATGACAGTCAGACATAAAGCGGAAATGACAGTCAAACATAAAGCGGCAATGGCAGTTGGACATAAAGCGGAAATGACAGTTGGACATAAAGCGGAAATGACAATCGGACCTAAATCAGTAATGACAGTCGGACCTAAAGCGGAAATGACAGTCGGACATAAAGCGGAAATTACAGTCGGACATAAAGCGGAAGTGACAGTCTGACATAAAGCGGAAATGACAATCGGACATAAACCCGAAAAGACAGTCAGACATAAAGCCGGAAAGACAGTCAGACATAAAGCGGAAATGACAGTCAGACATAAAGCGGAAATGACAGTTGGACATAAATAGATAATGACAATCAGACATAAAGCGGAAATGACAGTAGGACATAAAGCAGCAATGACAGTCGGACATAAAGCACAAATGACAGTCAGACATAAAGCGGAAAAGACAGTTGGACATAAAGCGGAAATGACAGTCTGACATAAAGCGGAAATGACAGTCGGTCATAAAGCGGAAATGACAGTCGGACATAAACCAGAAAAGACAGTCAGACATAAAGCGAAAAAGACAGTCAGACATGAAGCGGAAATGACAGTCAAACAAAAAGCGGAAATTACAATTGGACATGAAGCAGCAATGACAGTCGGACATAAAGCAGAAATGACAGTCGGACATAAAGCGGAAATGACAGTCGGACATAAAGCGGAAATTACTGTTGGACATAAAGCGGAAATGGCAGTCTGACATAAAACGGAAATGACAGTCGGTCATAAAGCGGGGAAAAGACAATCAGACATAAAGTGGAAAAGACAGTCAAACATAAAGTGGAAATGACAGTCAGACATAAAGCGGAAAAAACAGTCAGACATAAAACGGAGAAGACAGTCGGTCCTAAAGTGGCAATGCCATTCAGACATAAATCGGAAATGACAGTCATACCTAAAGCGGAAAAGGCAGTTGTACCTAAAGCGGAAATGACAGTTGGACATAAAGCGTAAATGACAGACGGACATAAAGCGGAAATGACAGTCGGACATAAAGCGGAAATCACAGTCGTGCCTAAAGCGGAAATGACAGTCGGACCTAAAGCAGAAATGACATTTGGACATAAAGCGGAAATGACAGTAGGACACAAAGCGGAAATGACAATCGGACTTAAAGCGTAAATGAAAGTCGTATTTAAAACGGCAATGACGGTTGGACATAAAGCGGAAAGGACAGTCAAACATAAAGTGAAAATGATAGTCAGAAATAAAGCGGAAAAGACATTTGGACATAAAGCGGAAATGACAGTGGGATATATAAGGCGGAAATGAAAGTCGGACATAAAGCGGAAATGGCAGTCGGACATAAATCAGAAATGAGAGTCGGACATAAAGCGAAAATGACAGTCGGACATAAGGCGGAAATGAAAGTCGGACATGAACCGGAAATGACAGTCGGACATAAAGCGGAAATGACAGTCGGACATAAAGCGGAAATGACAGTCAGACATAAAGCGGAAATGACAGTCGTACCTAAAGTGTAAATGAAAGTCTACCTAAAATGGTAATGACAGTTGGAAATAAAGCGGAAATGACATTCGGACATAAAGCGGAAATGACAGTCAAACTTAAAGCGAAAATGACAGTCGTACCTAAAGCGGAAATGACAGTCGGACATAAAACGGAAATGACAGTCGGACATAAAGTGGAAAATCGACTAAAATCATAGAAAAAGATGCTGCTGCACTAATTAGTAAAGTTCAAATAAAAAACAAACAGTAAACAGTAAAAAAGTGCAAAATGCGAGTAAATTTCTAAAAACTTATTTAAAAATAGTTAAACAGAAAAACGATGAGACTAAAAAAATCTAACCATAATTCAACCATTTAAAAAAAGATTTTAAAAATTTTTTGGATTAATGAACTGAAGAACAACAAAAGTCATTAAAATCATTAAAATTGAGAAACAATTTGATTTTGGTATTGATGTTGTTTAGCGGACGTTATTACTTCAAAAAAAAATTCTGGAAGGAAATGAGTTTTTTTGTTGTTTACTTGGAGAAAATATATTAATTTTAAGTTTTCTTTGATAACTTTTCTTGATTGTTTCAGAGAAACTCTGCAAATTACTGCGTTCTTAAAAAAATGTTTAACAAAAATTTCTTCCAAAAGTTCTTGTTTAAGAATTCATATTTTTATCTTAATAGATACTTCGTAAATTTACAAAACATGAGAACAATTTTTTGGCGGAAGGGGGATGCTATTTCCCCTCATACACCCCTATATGCCCTTGCGATAAAAATTTAGAATTAAAATGATATCTGTATTTAGAATAAAAACTTTTTTCATCGCACTCTGTTGTTCCCATGGTTTTTGTAGTTTTGTGAATACCATTGATCGATGAAAAAAATTTTAATTCTAAATAATTTATCAAAAGTACTGTAAGCAGACATTTTCATGAATGATAAAAGGATTGTTTACAAAATAAGGAAAACATTTTTATAAAAAGAATTGACATTCTAATATCATACCCACATGCATAGATTATTTAATCAGAATGCTGTTGTCTTAACTCAGGACAACATATTATAACTTTTTAATTTCAGAGTTGGCAGCTTCCTCTCCATCCTGCTCTCTGCTCTTTATCCTCCTTCCTTCCTCTCTTCTTCTCCTTCGCTTCTACCTTCACCATCACGGTCATAGCTTTAGACAGACATCAGCTGATAGTTCACTCCAGCCAACCACATTACAGGTATGCGGAATTCAATCCATTCCAGCTAACCACATTACAGGTATCCGGCATTCAATTCATTCCAGCCAACCACACTACAGGTATGCGGCATTCAATTCATTCCAGCCAACCACATTACAGGTATGCGGCATTCAATTCATTCCAGCCAACCAAACTACGGGTATGCGGGATTCAGTCCATTCCAGCTAACCACACTAGAGGTATGCGGCATTCAATCTATTCCAGCTAACCACACTAGAGGTATGCGGCATTCAATCCATTCCAGCCAACCCTACTACAGGTATGAGGCATTCAATTCATTCCAGCCAACCACTCTTTAGGTAAGCGGTATTCAATCCATTCCAGCTAACCACACTACAGGTATGCAGCATTCAATTCATTCCAGCCAACCACTCTATAGGTACGCGGTATTCAATTCATTCCAGCTAACCCCACTACAATACCTGCATTCAATTCATTCCAGCCAATAACACTACAGATATGGGGCATTCAAGCAGGTCAGTAGCTAGGGGGCACAAGGAAATGTGCTCTTTTTCCTAAAAGGGGGGGGGGGGAGGGCACAAAAAATAGATTTGTATGCTTTATCTTGATTTTTTAACCGGCGTTTATATTTCTTTTGTTGCCACTATCCCTGACGTTAAAATGATTTTCAGCTGGTTTATTTATTGTTTCTGGCTTTTTATCGACATACTATTAAGGGTGAAACTCTTTTACCAAAATGTCGAATCCTTTTTGCACAAGCTAAAAACTATAAAATATTAAATAAGAAGGAACGTTCATTTCAGAAAAAAATGAAAAAGTTAAAACTTATTCAGTAATTATTTTTTTCCCGCCTCTAACATCAATGTTTTGATCAACACAAAAAAAGTTAAAATCAGAATCCAGCTAAAAGGTTTTGGCATGGACAAATTTAATAAAAATTTGATGTAAAAACTTCTCATTAAATATATTGGGCCGCAACACTTGTCTTGAAACAGGCAAAATATCTATCAAAACTGATCTATGAAGTATAATGTGTAATAAGTTGAAAAAACCATTTTTTAATGATTCGTTGATATCAAACTTTTTTAAGGTTTTCAGATCAAAAACATTTTACCCTACGATGCGCATGCCTTCGCAAATATTTCTATGTAAGAAATTTCTGCCCCCTTGGGAAATTCCTACCTTTTCAATTATAAAACCGTAGAGAGGGGCGGGATTTTATAATAAAATGTTTAACTGTTCCTAGGTATTTACGGGAAGCATAAAAAGTTTTATTATTGTTTAACGTTTTTTCCCTTTCAAACACTGTCTGATTAAAATACATTTGACAAATTAATTCTTAAGAACTTCTCAAAATATTTCCTTAAAAATGGTTTTCAATATGCTGGCACACTCTAAAAGTAGTGTGCAGTCGTTCAGACAGTAATATGTTAGAATTAAGTATACTGCATTGAATTTAAGATCTAGAAACACTTATTCTGTCTGAAATGTTAAATTCTTTTTTTTTGGTTTTTGCTGGGATTCCGTTGGTTTCGGGCAGGGTTCTGCTAACTACCTGGGTTCGAACAGGATATTGCTGGACTCATGGCGGCACGCCCCCCCCCCCCTCCCTGGTTTGGTTTAGTTTAAATTCTAATGCGATAAATGTTGTCTCATATATTATTTGTATTCAGAGCTAGAATAACTGGACTGACACTTGCCGGGGTTTGGGTTGGAGCGCTTCTCTGCTCTGCCCCTATCCTCCCTAACACCAGGTAAAATTAAACCACGTGGTCATTTTAGAACCAGTTTTGTGTTCTGTGTTGAATTTGCAAGTAAATCTTCTAAAATGCTGAGATATTTTACATTTTTACTGAAAGTCCTTGCAAGAATGCTTTGCATCTGCAATTTACATACTTTCATTGAATTTTAATTTATTTAAGTTTTAATGAGTTTGAATGTCAGTTCTTTGTACAAAGTTGGTTAGAAGGAAAATAAGGATCCTATCCAAGTTGTCTTATCAAGTTCTTAAAGAAATATACCTCTTCTCTGGTCAGAGTTGAATGATGTATTCGTATTTTTTTGCCGGAAAATTGATAAACTAACAAAATTCAAATTTTAACATAGAAAAAATATGACATTTTCATTGTTTCTCAAAAAACGTTGTAAATTGGATGTGCCTTTCTTTATAAAAGTGGATCAAATGAAATTCTTTCTACCATGGAATTTTTAAGGGGGGAACATTTTTTTGGGCGTAGCGCGCAAAATTTTTTTATGTTCCCCCTAAGTGAACATTTAAAGGGAATGTAAAGGAAAAATGAAAGGGGGTATAGGCTAAAAGTTAATCACTATAGTCTTGGATGGATCGCGACCCATGAAGGTTATATTTGATTTTCCTGTCTCGAGAAATTGATATAAAACTGTGTCAAATTTATACGCATAAATTCAAATATGTACAATTTTGTGTAGAAATTGTAGGTTTAAACATAACATATTCAGCAAATACGCAACCACTCTGAAAACGAAGATATCCCAGAGAAACCTCTTTGTAACTTAGGTTTGCTCCACTTAAAATTTTATATTTTATTTTTTATTTTTGATAGATATAATCAATAATATTATTTATAAGTCCAGAACTCGACCAATTGTAGTGCAGTATAATGGTCACGTGATACACACCATTAGTAATATCTACACAAAAAACTAGATATTTCTTATATTTTATTTTTATTCTCTATCGGAATAGTTAAAAATCCCTCAAAAATTGTGTAAGAAACTTTACATATATTTTTCATATACATTATACAATATACATATGGCCCACCAAAAACTAGTATAAACGAAGATTCGAAACTAAACATTTGATGGGTGAAAATTGGTTCTACAGTTAAGATTCGTTTGTTTAACTTTTAATTAGGACTTCTAGTTTACCGTGATGGTCATAGATTATAATTTAAGACAATCTAAATCTCATGTTAATCTTAATATTCCCTAAATGATTAAAAAATCTGCACGGATTAGGGGGAATTTTGATATTTTCTTAAATTATGCTAAATCATGTTAATTTTTCAAAAAACTGTACATTTTTCTACTCTTCTTGATTTTCCTAGTTTAAAAATCCTCATCACAGCCAAGAGACTGCAAAGGTTGGGCTATTTGGACAGCGGCAGATTCAAGGGGGGGGGGGGGTAAAATTACTTCCCCTCCCCCCTTAGGAATCCAGGGGAGGCTCTGCCCCGCTGCATGGACTCATGGGCAAAGGTGAAAACTGTGTGGGACTATAAACAGTGGACCATATCAAGGGGATAAATAAACTAAAAAAAGAGCATTATCCTACTAATTATTAACTATTATTCTGTTATTTTTATTTTTAATGGGGGGGGGGGGGGGGGGGTATTTTTTTTAAATCTTGCCTCCGCCCTCTTTTTACGCGCCTGATTGAATTTTTCAAATTTGCCCCGAGTTAAATACTTTTATAGCTGTATAGTGAGAGAAATCTCTCTTTTTCTAAAGTAGTGAGTAATATCTGTTGGAAGCAGATTTAGCCTGATATATCTGTATATTTGCCTGATATATCTGTATGGTTGGAAGCAGATTTGCCTGATATTTTGATTTGAAAACTCGGTAGAATATTAAGGTAATGTTTTTAGTTTGGTTTTAAAGTTAACTTAAATAAAGAAAGTTTAGATCTCCAGAGAAAGCTGGGTCCCCAAGCTGGAAGAAAAATAAACTTGAAGTAAATATTGCAAAACTGTGCAGATATATAGTGTAGTGTATAGGCATTTATAGCTTGCAATATTACCATTATATACAAAACACCCGACTTAACTGTAATTGCATTTGTACATCTCGCATTTGATATTTTAAACAAGTATCACAACTGTCTATACAGTGAGAACCAGAAAATTGTGGAATAGGAAGACGACATTAAATTACTATGTATCATGCCTCTATAAAGTCTAAAATTCGACCTGGTTTAACGTCCTGTGTGTCTTAACTTTAGAACCCTTCAAATGTAGATTTTTCGAATAAGTTTTTTGTTGGGATAAATATTCTGAATAGGGTGAAAAATTAGGTTGCAAAGATGTTTTCTGGTATTGACGTAAAGTCAGAACTTTTGGGTGTAAAGTGCATCATTTAATTTTAGGTTGGATATACACACTCTACCTCCAGCAGTGAGCGAGGTTCTAGGAATATCTGAGAGAGCGTACTGCAGAGAGGATTGGGGGTATCCTAAAGGAAGGTAGGAAGGCAGATCAATCCTACTTGAAGGGGATGATTCATTTTGTGTACTGTCCTGTTTTACCGTCTGCACTGAGCCGAAAATTAAAGAAAGTATCCTTGAAAGAGTTTCCTTTATTGGGTCTGATCATTTGTGTAGATTTTGATTTAATGACCTAGAAACACAAGATAATATGAAGAAACCAAATAAATTATTATTACGGTATCTACAAAAATGTCTAACCCCATTCATAAAACTGGGTTTCCGATACTGGGTTTCATAAACTGTATCAAGTTTCCGATACTGGGTTTCATAAACTCTATCAAGTTTCCAATACTGGGTTTCATAATCTGTATCAAGTTTCCAATACTGGGTTTCATAATCTGTATCAAGTTTCCGATACTGGGTTTCATAAACTGTATCAAGTTTCCGATACTGGGTTTCATAAACTGTATCAAGTTTCGGACTCTCCAGTCTTACTCTTATGTATACTATGTACACTGTTGCAATTTTCACTATGCTGCTTAAAAGTCGATTTGTTGCTTTATTGCACCTGAATTTTCAGTGAAGTAGATAAAGAACAATGAAACTCAGAAGAAAGTTTGTTTATCTTGTTTTGTGACGTAACAAGACAACGAAAGAACTAGTTTTACTGTAAACAAACAACATTAACGGGACTGTAAGCGTAATTTCAAGTTCCTGGCCCACAATGCAAAAAAGGCAATGCCAGGTTCACAACCGTAACCTTGAACCTTTATCTGATCAAAAATATGGAAAAAATTGTCCTGTTTTTTAAAAGTTTAAAATTGTTGAATTCTGATAATTCCTATATGTTTTGTAACGGTAGAATTGCACAAGTCACTTTTTGCAGAGAAACCACAATTGAAAATATAATCCATTTTCTTCAAATAATAAACCTGGGATCTAATACGTGATCAGACTTAGCTTGTTAAGGTTCCCTTGTAAATCAGATATCTATATAATAACACAAGACATTCGTATATATGTTGCGTATAGCCGGCCAAACATCTGGACCGATTGGGCTGACATTTTTTGTGGACACTCATGGGGGGCTGGGGGGTGTTATAAGCTGAAAAAATTCGAAATTAAATTTTTAAAATTTTTTTTTTCTAGCATGTAAGTGATAAATGTAAAATTAAGTGTTTAAATTTCCAGTAATATTGGTGCAGTTTTATCTGTTCTTTTTTTCTTTTTACATTCTGTTTTATTTATTGTCCCTTCTACCAAAATACAGGTTGGAACTGTACAATATTTGACACCAATGACGTCATGCATAATTTTTTAAAAATCTTATTGACACCCAGCGCACTTGCTTATTTATTTAATAGAAGCTTAAAATATATTACATTCGTGAATGAAAAGTATATTTATGATAAAACCCGCCTCACTCTTCTAATGAAAAAGAAACTTAGGATAACAGGAAAATTTTTGAGCAAAGAAAATAGAATACATATTAGAGTGGAATTTACTAGAAAAAAGTGTAAAACGACCATTTTGTTGTACTGTTTCCATACTTCACATATTTGCGCTATATAACCTTTTGGGCCCTGGAATATCATTTTATGGAAAATCTAAAATTAATATTAAAAGAAAACCAAATTACGAAATAGACTGGTTTCATAATTGACCAATGATCATTTTATATAGACTCTTTGCCTTTCACTTTACAAACGATGATTTTCCGTTATAACTATAAATCAAATGATGGTTTTTATTTACCTAATTCATTATAAAGTTTAAAAAATTCGAAATTGAAATGGATAGTCAAGGGTACAAACTGTATCAATGTACTCTACTGCATATAATTTGTGAACATTTACATTATTTGTACACTTTGAACTCCCTTTCATGCTGAAAGATTCATACTGAGGGATTGTTTAAATTCCACTCTAATATATATTCTATTCTCTTTGGTTTTGAGTAATCAAGATACCTAAACAAATATTTAATTGTTTTGTTGTTCAGTCACTGCAGACTAACCAGATAAATACAAGTTAAAATTCATCAAAATAATAAAAAGTACTAGAATTGATATTACAAATAAAGCAAAACATAATAAATTAAAATATTAAAATTGTAATACAAGAAATGCCCTCGCTAACATCCAACCAAGACCGTGAATTTTAAACATGTAAAAAGCATTAAAAAATTATAAAAATTCTGTTAGAAATAACCAGCAGAATGTTACGGATATAGAAATTCATGGAGATATTTCTGAATGTTCGAAATTTAGAAACGCTTTCGATAGTTTGATATAACGAATAAAATATATATCTAAAGAATATGATATTAGAATAAGTTGCAGTTATGTAACTATAATGGTATATCGGATAGTTTGATATAAAGAATAAAATATATATCTAAAGAATATAATATTAGGATAGGTTGCAGTTACGTAACTATAATGCATGTTATATCGGATTTCCTTCATTTTTCACTACAGGGGATATTAGTTCCAAAACTAACTCTTGGCCCATTTCTAACACTGAGTGTTAGAAATAGGCCAAATCTGCAAAGTTATCTTTTTCAAGAGTATGCATCTTTAAATCCAAGTCGAGTAGAACAAAATTACACCAAATATTTATAAAAAATGGCTTAAATTATATATTCTAACAATGAATGTTAATTTTAAACTAATAAGAAGGTGTGAGAATTAGCTTTTGATGATTCTTGATTTCATTTTCGAACATATCCCTATTTTGAAACAATTACCGTATTTCAGCTCATGTCGCGTTTTCGAAACATGTCCTGGTTTTGAGACAATTACTGGATTTCAGCTCATGCAGTCGCGTTTTCGAAACATATCCTGGTTTTGAGACAATTACCGAAATTTATATCAATGTCAATTTTCAAGCATTTACGCGCTTATAAAACAAAACAAGATTTTTTTATAAGATAAAATATAAACAAAATAGAAATTAAAAACAAACTGCTCTTTTATAATTTAAAAATCATCACAGCATTTAGAAATCAAAATATTAATATCATTTGTACTTCAATATAGAATTAACTAGAAATGCGGGAAAATGTTTTTTAAATGTTTGAAAATAAATCATCGATATTCTCTAATTTAACAGATAAAATGTGGAAACTTAGATTCTAGAAAACATTCAGAAGTTAATTAATTTAGTCTTTATAAGATAATTTTTGTTTTCATTGATTTATTTTGTAAGTTATGAAAGTGAGTTTTGTTTTTAATTGGATTATAGTTTTTATTATCGACTTTTACTCTGGATATGGGCCGGGCCATCCCAAAAATGGGCCAAGTGTTAGTTTTGGAACTAATTTCCCCCCCCCCCCCACTATTCAAATAGTTTCTCCAAAATTTGACTAATATAATGAAAATCTTCGTATTTCTTACCTTCAAATGCGGGAATTAAATTATCTAAGTTGAAAGGTTTCTAGAAAGTTTGAGTAAACAGAAGATGTTTTTGTTTTTCTTTAATTTAAAACTATAATGAATTGCTATGATACGTGCTTTGTTTCCAACACCAAATTCAAACTCATACATATTTTAGTGGTTTCAGGAGAAAAAAAATGCTAGAACGAAATTAAATAATACAAATTTGATATATTATATTCTTTTTGATTTTTAAAACGAAAATTTTGGATTGCCAAATTTTTACAATTTGTTGAACATTTACATATGAAATGTACACTTTCCATGATATTCCCGGAGAAGGATGTTAAGTTACATTGCAGTATCTTGGGACAATTAAGTAAAATAACATCCCGCTTTGCGAAGTTTTTGTGAAAAAATTTTGATTTCCCTTTAAAGAAGTAACGTAAATAATTATAAATCCGTTTAAAGCTCAAAAAGACTAAAAAATAAATATGGATAGGGACTAAAGCATAATATGTTTATTTTCTACAGCTCTATATCGTTTCCGTTTTGCTTTCTTGATAAACTTTATGAGGAAGGTATCGAAAAAGACATACAGTGGTAAGCGTTTATATCAATACAATAAAGACAGCTTTCAATTTTAATTTTGATTTAAATCAAGCTGTTAAACATCATGGAGACACATTAACATAGATGTCAAGAGAAGCTGTCAATTAAAAAAGCTTCTCTTTGATTACTTGTAAACATGTAATTGAAAAAAAGCTTGTAAATATTTAGTAAAGAAGTCGTCTTCATATTATTGATATAATCGCCTACCACTGTATTATCAAGAATTGTTTTTTAAAGTATAAAGCTAACTGCTTCGGTTCATATTTTATAGTAAAAGTTACTCCAGCCAATTTTTCAAGCTTGGTCTTAAATCATGATTGTACTTAAAGGGAGTGTTCGCGAAAAATGAAAGGGGGTATAGGCTTAATGCGATAAAAAGCGCTTTGGATCGCTACTAATCTTACTTCTATCTGTTGCGTCTATAAGGAGAACATTTTTTTTACGGTCTAAGTCGTATGTTGCAATTTTCTCAATTTGTATGGACGCTAAGTTATTCGGTATGAGACGTCTTTAACAATTTTCTCCTTAAAGACGCAAAAGATAGATGTAAGATTATTAGCGATCAAAAGTGCTTTTTTATCGCATTAAGCCTTTCCCCCTTTCATTTTTCGCGAAAACACCCTTTAATTGCCCTCGTTGCCAGTGAAATTTCAAAAATAGCCTTTTGTCAGCAATCTAGCCAAACATATAAATAACTATATTTTCTTAATATAATTCTAGAACATTTTCTATCGTTTATTTAGCTAGATTGTTATGCATACCTGTATCTAAGTATATAAATTTAATCGAAGAGCTTTATTACTAATGAAGATCCTATCCTACACTAACAGTAATTCAGTGAATATAGTGCTTCTATATAAAATCCTATCCTACACTAACACTAATTCTGTGAATATAGTGCTTCTATATAAAATCTTCCAAGTTTGGAACTTCTTCCAATTTTCTCTCCCCTATTGACACATAAAATCTCGATTAACTGAAAAATGTAAAAAAGTTGAATTTATTTCCCCCATTATGTTCACCTGTACTCGGTGAAATTTAAACATTA